CTCACTTTCCATTGCAATGGAAAACATGTTACAATTGCCTCTGCTCCTTGATTTGCATTGGCCCCTCTAATCCCTGGCATAAAACTCATCAACTTCTCAGGAGGGAGTTTAAAGAAATGATCAAAGGCTCTGGGGTGGACTCTCTTTGATCACTTGGGTGAGCCATTTTGGAATGAGTTAACCCAGGAATTGAGTTGACACACAGCTCTCCGTTTCTGGGTCTTAATTTGAAGATATGGAAGACTCTTTTGCAGGCAGTGCTATGCTTGCTGCTTTGAAATAACTCTGCGGAGACTCTCAGCTTTGATAATTGAGCATTCCTATTTAAGCCAGTAATGACATTTAAATATCAGCATGGCTCTTTGCATGCCTTATAATAGAGAGAAATGGAAAATAAAGCACCAATACAAAATTATTTCTTTAAAAAACAGGAGGAGCAGATAAAGGCCAGTTGCCACTGGAGTCCTTTCTCAACATCCTTTGGCAGAGGATTCCTCAGCTTTTGATTTGGTTAAGAAAGCCCAAACTTTTTTGAGGAGGGAAGAAAGAATTCCTTTAGACAGTGTGGGCAGAGACTGATGAGAGGTGATAGGTGCCTTGCATGGTGTAGTAGGATGAATGTCAAACTTGACAATCTTTGCACTCTGGAAAGCATAGACATTATTTCTTTATAGCATGTGTAACAATGTGGCAAGCCAGCCATATTCTTTCCCAGGCTATGCCATTCCCTGCCCTAAGAGTAAATCAACATTCTGAGCTCACTGAGCTGCACTGGGGCTCTTCCAGACTAGAGGGGTTTTGGGGGGGAGGTGTATTATGCAACTTTTCATTGATGCAATAATAGTGTGTTGGTGGTGGATTTGTACTTCACTATCCATGTAGCAAGGGACGCGGGTGGCGTTGTGGGTTAAACCACAGAGCCTAGGACTTGCCGATCAGAAAGTCGGCGGTTCGAATCTCCGTGATGGGGTGAGCTCCCGTTGCTCGGTCCCTGCTCCTGCCAACCTAGCAGTTTGAGAACACGTCAAAGTGCAAGTAGATAAATAGGTACCACTCTGGCGGGAAGATAAATGCCGTTTCTGTGCTCTGCTCTGGTTTGCCAGAAGCAGCTTAGTCATGCTGGCCACATGACCCAGAAGCTGTACGCCGGCTCCCTCGGCCAATAAAGCGAGATGAGCGCCGCAACCCCAGAGTCGACCACGACTGGACCTTTTTATCCATGTAGCATCCTGCTTTGTTAATTGTTCTACAATGTTCCCCTAATGTTATGGCATTATTGCTGTCTGGAGGGGTACTATAGTGTAACGAGTGCACCCTCTAAATGTTACCTAAACAGCTTGGAACAAATGCTCAATAAATAGCAATCACCATCTTAAACCGCTCTGCAAATAAAATTCTCAATAAACAGGTCATCTGGAAGCAACCAGAGCTGCTCTTCCACTTCCAGCTTTAAGCAGAACAGCACTGTTTGAGTGCTGTTAAATAATCTGCATCTGGAAGCCCCTGGAGTTGATACCTGGCTTTGCTTATTTTCTTCTTCTTGTCTCAGATTCATTCCTCTCCCTCCACATTTGTATCATGGCTTCAATGACAAGCCATTAGCTTAAACTGCCTTGAGTTTTTTGGCAAAAAGGTGGCATCGAAGGGTAGTAAGTAAATACATAATGTAAGAAGGGGAAGGGGCATTTTATTTCCCACTTGGGGTCTCGCCTGCAAACAAGTGATGCTTGCCCCCAACTCCCCCCCCCCCCCCGAGCTGGCAAGTGGCCAAGTTGAAAGCTAAGGTCCAAACCGGGGTGGTTCGTTCTCTCTCTCTCTCTCTCTCTCAGGAATAGTGGAAGAAATTCGATTCAGTTTGCATTTGAAGGCAAAACTGCCCAAATAGTGCTTCTGAAAGCATGTGAACCGAAGCACTAATATCAACCAAAACTTGCACACCTCCAAATTGTGCAATGTAGTTCTCCAGCCAGGCAGTCTGTACAAACGTTATGCACTAAAGCCGTGCACTAAATTACATATATTAATGAAAACAACATTTTAAGAATGCATTATATAAGAGGAAATTGCTTCATGTAGAACTGCATAAAATGTGTGGATTGGAGAAATTCATTTTGTGTGTGATTACTTTTATATTTTTAAAAAATGATGTGGGAAAAGTGTGAAACTGAACCCATGATTGGAAAAATGAGAAGCTGTGGGAAACTGCAATGGACAGAACTGCCCATCCATAGCCCATAGGTATTGCTTTGGTAACAGGCAGCCTTGTGGCACGGCTTTGATGACTGGGGAGAAGGGAGTGGTCTGGATGAGGGTGTTTAACTCTTTCATCACATGTCTTTTCTCCAATGTAACCCCCCCCCCATGCAAATAGTAGCATTGGCAGGGTGTGTGGGTGAAAAGATAGGTACTGTGTTTCTGACTCCCTTCCTCCCCCACACAAATACTGCAGAATTAGTAGCTTGGGAGTGGAAGGAGAGGGTTAACCCCCACCATTTCCTGGTCTTCAAAGCAACCCAGAAGGCCTTCTAATTAGCAAAACAAAAACAGCAGGAGATCCCAATGGCAGATTTCCTGCACCATCACAACTGGTTTGGTTGTGAGTTAATTATATTTCAACATTATATTGAGTGAAATTTAATTATATTTCGGGTTGTTGTTTTTAATTATTTTTAAAAACGATAACCACTATAGCAGGTATGTCCTTTAAACTCTTTGGATTCTTCATTAAGGTGTTCCTTATCCCCTCACCTGGTCATGAAACATTGGATCTACTTAAATCTTACCTGCTAGATAGGTACCCTGAATCAATTACTAGGAGAATGAAAGTGGAAAAAAGAACTGACAGTAACTTCCTGTTTTTCCTCTCTCTCTTTTTCTCCACAAGGAAAGCACAAACCCAAAAAGAAATTTCATAACTGTAGCTTAAGAGAAAAGGGTCTGGTAGTTAATTTCCCCTGTGGCGAATTCTCTTTCCCGGTCTTCTCTGGTTTCCTTTCTGTCCAATTTGTGTTAATTTTCAAAGTACCTTGTGCAATACCTGCTGTTGTTTTTCTCTTATTAATTATCTGAGGCGTCGACCAATTGCCATTTTTTCCCACAAGTCTTCACAGAGGGCCAAATGACTCAACACAAATTCAGTATCTACAGGATATTCATGGAACAAATTTTCTTGGGACTTTTATCACATTCTTATCAGTCCTGGAGAGAGTCACCACAAAAGCAGCAGCAGCAGAATTGGTGCATCTAATGCATGGCTGGTGCTGGACTTCAGGGGGTTCTTGGTACAGTAGCACTGATGCCCACCCAACACCCATCCCCTGCATGCAACCACACAGCATGGGTAAAAGGCAACCCCCTCTCACCGCCATCATTACCTGCCATCCAGGTGAGGTAGTGCCACTTCTGTATCGGAGCCAGACTTGGCAGGGCTTGGATTAAGACCTTTAGAGGCCCCAAGCACTTAAACGATTTTGGTGCCCCCATATATATCTACTTCAGTATATAGGGAAAGGTAAAGGGACCCCTGACCATTAGGTCCAGTCATGGCCGACTCTGGGGTTGCAGCTCTCATCTTGCTTTATTGGCCGAGGGAGCTGGCATACAGCTTCCGGGTCATGTGGCCAGCATGACTAAGCCGCTTCTGGCAAACCAGAGCAGAGCACCGTATGGAAATGCCATTTACCTTCCCGCAGAGCGGTACCTATTTATCTACTTGCACTTTGACGTGCTTTCGAACTGCTAGGTTGGCAGGAGCAAGGACCAAGCAACGGGAGCTCACCCCGTTGCGGGGATTCGAACCACCGACCTTCCGATTGGCAAGTCCTAGGCTCTGTGGTTTAACCCACAGCGCCACCCACGTCCCGTACTTCAATATATAAACAATAATAAACCGTAAGTTAAAATTATATTTTTTGAAATGAAACGAAAACTACAGTAAGATGGAAAAGAGCACTTATTTTTGTAAACTTCCACTTTATTTGTATTTGAAAAAAGTTCCCCTGCTTTTTTCTAATTGCAGAGTCTTTGATTAGATCCTTGAAACTAATCTTTCATGACACATCTGCCTCTATACTTAGTAGAGATAAGGCCATCCAGCCTGCTTTGTTGCATAGTTTTTCTCTTGGGATTTTTAATATACTTCAACTGAGAAAATGAATGCTCAGTTTGAGCAGTTTGCGACCATTAATGTTAAAAATCCAGCAATGGGAAATTTCTGTGGTGCCCCCCTTGCCTTGATACCTTAAGCATATGCTTATTTTGCTTAATGGTTAATCTAGCCCTGAGCCTTGGCTCTCAGCATCTTAGTTTACCCCAATACAACAGATCTGTGGAATCTATAGATTTCTATAGAGCAATATAAGAGAGCTTTAGGGCCCATTCAAAGCATCAATGGCCAGCAGTGGAATATATGCCCGTGCTGCCCAGGGTGGGCGTGCTCTCAAGGGGGCATGGCCCGGAGGGTGCCTTCCCAGGCGTGGGAAAGCCGCTCGGGTGCCCAGAGTGGTGCGCGCTCCTTGCCGCTGGGGGTGGAGCAAGCTGCCCAAGGCGGACATTCGGTGTGTTGCTTGCCCACAACTTCCAAGCCTCCCCCAAGGTGTCAAAACAAAAGAGGAAGGGGGGAATGTCACCTGCAAAGCTGCTCAGCTCTCCCCTTACCCCCGACAGCTTGGGGTAGGCTTGGGAGTTGTGGGCAGATGGCACGCTGAATGTCACCCCCCTCAGTGAGGGCACCCGGGGTGATCCGCCTCCACTGCCCCCCTTCCTATGCCCCTGTCAGCGGCACCCACCCATTGCCAAGATGCCACTGGGGTGTTCAGCAGGGGGATGGGTGAAGCGTGGCAGCACGGCCGGGTCAAGCTAGTGAGGAGTCGTTCTAAGTCCCAGAGGCCCCTGACCAGTGCCTGGCCTGGCCTGGCTGACCGCTGGTTCTGGGCCGGATTTCACATTGTAGCAATTTCATGTTGTAGAAAATGTGCAGTAGGAGAAGAGCAAGTCAGCCTTGCTGGTTAGCTCAGTTGGTTAGAGTGTGGTGCTGACAATGCCAATGTCATGGGTTTGATCCCTGCATTGATGCATATTCCTGCAGTGCATTGGACTAGATGATTCATGGTGTCCCTTCCACCTCTATACTTTTTTCCAGCTTTACAATTTACATTTGTATTCAATTCGTAATCATAACCTTACACATATAGGATTCCCTGAATCCACCCCTCCATGGCTTCCGTTATTAATCTGTTTTCAACTGCATCTTATAATATTCTCCATTCTTTCTTAAAATTCCCTTTTTTTAACCATAGTTCCTGTTACATTACAAGTGTTTCTACATTCCTGCCAAAGTTTTCAGTTGTTTACAGTGTTCTCCAAGGTAACTTATAAATTTTCCCCCATTAAAGTTTCTGTCTTCTTGGTTTCTAATCTTCCTGGTCATTTTCGCCATTTCGGCAGAGTCCATCATCTTTGTCAACCCCTCTTCTCTGGTTGGGACTTTATCTTCTTTCCATCTCTGGGCCAAAAGTATCCGCATTGCTGTCACCAACGATGCAAGTTGCATTGCTACACTCGCTTATGTGGGAGTAAGTTCTTCTTGTCAGCTGGGAAGAAGCAGTGGGGATGACTGCCCGGCTCCTGTACACAACCATAAATCTTCCCTGTGTTAGAAGCATTCCCCCGTCACCAGATTGCTCTCCAATTACCTTCTCCACCAGCTGTGGTTTTGAGCTGCCTAATGAACAGTGATATGTAGAACCAGCTAGGAACTGTTTCCACTCACCTCTGAAGGCTCCTGAGGGTAGGCCTCTGAGGGCGTTTCGTGCCACAGACTAATTATACTGGAAACAACAGTTCTGGAGGTGGTGTCCGTATCAGGTAATTATCATCATCTTCATGAAACTACACTTCCCATGCTTCTTTGAAAGAAGCCATCACCACTGAACTGATGTAAAAGAGATGTGTTTATGGTGTGTGTGTGTGTGTGTGTGTGTGTGTGTGTGTATACACCCACAACATGCAGAAAGTTAGTAAGCAACTGGGGGAAAAAATTATTGTAGTAGGATCAAGACATGTGGAAGCCTGGAGTTAATTTTCCATGCTCCATCCTCAAAGGTCTTTCAGTCTCTTGATTGCCTCCTCTGTTGTAGGTCTACAGACCTGATACATTTAACATTTCTTCTGATGGCATTGCAGCCAAGAGCTAACTATCTGTATTGCAGGGCAAACCTATCTCCAATGCTTTGCAAAAGGTGAATTCCTTGTGTTGGCACAAAGTTACTCTTTGCACATTGACGAGACTGTGTTTGCATTGGAGAGAGACCATAGTGTCATAGTAACAAACATGCTTTACATGCAGATGATCCCAGGTTCAAGCCTTGGCATTTTAAAAAAGGACCAGGTGATGGGACACATATTTTGCAGAGTCGCTGAAGAGGTACTGCCAGTCAGAATAGGCAATATTGCTCTAGAGAGATTATGTGTCTGGCCTCTTATAAGACAACAAACTCTCTGTGTTCCTGTGACATGGCAGGTTCTAAAGCAAGGAGAAACCGACAAACCCATGAATGGAGGAGAGGTTTGCTCTTTTTGTAAATTTTAGCGTAAACTGGCCTAATTCACAACTCCTTAATGAACCAAAAAGCAGCTTTCTTTCGAAATTCAGACCTCTCCAAATTTTGGGGTATAGTTCTCCAAGCAAAATAAATAGGTATATTAGGTAGGGTTGCCATATTTCAACAGAAAAGTTGTTGCGAGGGTTTTTTTAGTTCTGCCCAGAGTTGTTGAGCTATTTTTTTTGCAAAATCGCAAAAATACATATGCCATTTTTGAGCTAATTTTATGGCAAATTGGCAAAAACGCCACTGCCAACATGGGCTGCCATACATGCTGACTGCAGTATTACAGATATGTCCAGGATATCTCGAACATATGGCAACCCTAATATTAGGAAAATGTGTCTATGCAAATGTGCATATTGGTGGAAATAGTGTACCAAAACGCATTCTAGAAGAGGAAATTGCCTTCATAGATCTGTATGTTAGGAGTGTACGGAAACAGGACTTTTTCACGAAGACACACAAACACGTGTTCATGAACTGATGCAGAAATGGGGTGAACTCAGCTTAATGTTGGAAAAACAAGAACCCGGAAAACCTAGAAAGTGACACATTTATCCATCCTTCCACCTAGTGTAAGTAGTAATTACACAGTTCAAATCATGTTCAGGAATGTGATTAAGCCAGAGATGACTGACATTCATATTCTGATAGTACAGTGGTACCTCGGGTTACAGACGCTTCAGGTTACAGACGCTTCAGGTTACAGACTCTGCTAACCCAGAAATAGTACCTCGGGTTAAGAACGTTGCTTCAGGATGAGAACAAAAATTGTGCAGCGGTGGCGCGGCAGCAGCGGGAGGCCCCTTTAGCTAAAGTGGTGCTTCAGGTTAAGAACAGTTTCAGGTTAAGAACAGACTTCCAGAACGAATTAAGTTCTTAACCCGAGGTACCACTGTATTGTTTATTGTCTACCATAACAAAGGGTTTTATGTCTCTTGGGTGACTTAAAAAAACTTTACCACGTGCTGCCTTTAGGCTGGAAGTATTAAGCAACCTAAAAATAGATTGTCAACTTTTTTAGTTGTCTGTTCAGAGGAGCTGAGAATTGTTGTCTCTGGCTAACATGCTGTATGCTTAACTCTGCCTGCTCCAATGTGTTGCATCCCATAATGCCTTTGGGTCTTTCAGAAGATGCATATGAACCTGACAGAGCCCCATGGAGAATCCAGTGATGCAGGTCATGAGCCAGCAGGTTAATATTGGAAGTGCTGCCTGTCACTGACTTGCCAGTATCCTAACACTCTTAGTGCATGCTGACTCATTAAGATCTGCCACATTCATTAGGAAATTTCTAATGAACCTCAGAGAGCCTGGCCTTTGGAAGCTGCAATTGTCTGGAGCCGCAATGACTCATTATGAGATTCAGAAGTTGGTTTCCATGGCAGGGTGGGGGTGGGGAGAGGGACGGACAAATACAGATCAGTCAACAAAATGTTCAGAACCGGACCTTGCCCACTACAAACTGTGGGTGGCATTCACACTGGCCGTTTCCTAGGACGGGAAAAGGGGAACAAATTATACCATGTCAAGTCTGTTCATACACAGTTTGGAAAGAGATAATAACACTGCCACGTTAATACTGACTGGAGTTTTGCCAGTTGTTTCTGATGGAGTACGATTAGGTCAGGGAGAAAACAATGCTGTCCAGGGTTGTAAAGACTGTGGAGAGAATAACTGAGTGCACTTTTCCCACCTTGGATCAAATCTATGCTTCCAGGTGCCATAAGAAAGCTGCAGAGATAGCGCAGGATAGTGCGCACCCCGGAAACGATCTCTTTCAGCTTCTGCCTTCTGGAAGAAGGTACAGGGTTATAAAGACAAGGACTAGCTGCCTGAGAAACAGTTTCTATCCAAATGCGATTTTGGTTTTAAACGCAGTGTAAGGTAGTCTTTATGTGAGTATATTGTATTCAATTATCGGGTATCAGAGTTTTTAGGGGCTAACCAGGCTGGGATTGAATCCCCATTGGCGGTTTGAATCCCCGCGACGGGGTGAGCTCCCGTTGCTCGGTCCCTGCTCCTGCCAACCTAGCAGTTCGAAAGCACATCAAACTGCAAGTAGATAAATAGGTACCGCTCCGGCAGGAAGGTAAACGGTGTTTCTGTGTGCTGCTCTGGTTCGCCAGAAGCGGCTTAGTCATGCTGGCCACATGACCCGGAAGCTGTATGCCGGCTCCCTCGGCCAATAAAGCGAGATGAGCGCCGCAACCCCAGAGTTGGCCATGACTGGACCTAATGATCAGGGGTCCCTTTACCTTTACAGGCTGGGATAGCTGGGATAGCAGGCTTGTGGGTTTTTGAATGTCTGATGTAGATTTTTTCTATTTCGTTGTTCTGTTATGGGGCAATGTCAATAAAGATTATTGTATCGTATCGTAATGATTACATGGTCTAGAGTGCAAATGGGCAAGGCTTGGTTGAGGCCAGAAATGCTGCAGGTTCACAGGACAGTCTTTGGCTGGCTCTAGCTTCAGAACAATCATGGCTCTGAAACGGAACGAGTCCAGTCTGCCTCCAACAGAAATGCTGGAGGAAAGGGCCTGACTTTGCCTTGTAAACTAATCTCCTAAGGTGCGGGGTGAAGGAGTGAAAGAGAGTGGTTTAGGAAAGGACCACGCCGGTCATCTAGTCCGATCCCCTGCAGTCCGATTTTTTGCCTGACATGGGTCTCGAACCCAAGACCCTGAGATTAAGAGACTCATGCTCTACCGACAGATCTATCCCAGCATTTGTATAATAATCCCTTTATTCAGTGCTTTATACAAAGAGAAGTTTTAAATTGCAAAAAAACCACAAAAAACCACACACATGATAATGCAGCCAACCATACAATAAAATTAAGAGCAATAAAACCAATCTAAAACACCTGGGCAAACGGAATCGTAGACTTGTACAGTCGGATGTGCAGAATGCCGCGGCAAGGCTCCTTTCAGGGTCCTTGCCACGGGATCACATTCATCCAGTGCTTTACCAACTGCATTGGCTCCCAGTGGAGTACAGGGTCACATTTAAAGTGCTGGTTTTGACCTTTAAAGCCCTATGTGGCCTAGGACTCACGTACCTACAGGACCACCTCTCCTGGTATGCCCCGCGGAGGACCGTAAGGTCCACAAATGACAACACTTTGGAGGTCCCAAATCGCAAGGTGGTTAGATTGGTCTCAACTAGGGCCAGCGCCTTTTCAGTACTGGCCCCTACTTGGTGGAACGCTCTGTCACAAGAGACTAGGGCCCTGTGAGACTTGACATCTTTCCACAGGGCCTGCAAGACAGAGGTGTTCAACCTGGCCTTTGGTTTGGACTCAGTCTGACCCTTATGTCTTCCCTCCCCTTACGGTTTTGATCTATGTTGGCTACTTTTAAAATGAAGCTGCATTTTAAATTGCATTTAAACCTGTATTTTAATTTTTTCCTCTCTGCCCCCCCATTATGTTTCTATTGTAATTTTACTGGTGTTAGCCGCCCTGAGCCCGGATCTGGCCGGGGAGGGCAGGGTATAAATAAAATTATTATTATTATTAATTATTTATGTAGTCCAACCCCCCGCAATGCTGTGCAATAAAAAGGGTTGAGGCTGAAAAGAATACACTGATTAAAACTTGCTGCTCTACTTATTATGGTTGATATCCAGTGTTAGTTATACACAGAGCAGACCCCCTGAAATCAAGGGATTTGTTACTTAAGGCCACAGATTTCAGTGGGTGTATGCACGATGAGTGGGACACGGGTGGCGTTGTGGGTTAAACCACAGAGCCTAAGACTTGCTGATCAGAAGGTCGGCGGTTCGAATCCCCACAATGGGGTGAGCTCCCGTTGCTCGGTCCCTGCTCCTGCCAACCTAGCAGTTTGAAAGCAAGTCAAAGTGCAAGTAGATAAATAGGTACCGCTCTGGCGGGAAGGTAAACGGCGTTTCCGTGCGCTGCTCTGGTTTGCCAGAAGTGGCTTAGTCATGCTGGCCACATGACCCGGAAGCTGTACGCCGGCTCCCTCAGCCAATAAAGCAAGATGAGCACCGCAACCCCAGAGTTGGCCACAACTGGACCTAATGGTCAGGGGTCCCTTTACCTTTACCTTTATGCACAATGAGTATGGCTTAGTTGGAGATCACCCTACCTGCAGCTCCCCGGATGTCTGCCTTTCCAACAAAGATGGGATGGTGATACCTGTGGCCCTGCAGGTATTGCTGGGTTATAAATCCCCCACTGGGTCTTATGGGAACGGAAGTCCCCATCCCTGTAAGCAAAGAGTATGAGAGGAGTCTGACATTTCTTTTTTTTTTAATTTTACTGTTGTGGGGGGAAAGTATTTTCCCGCCAGGTCAGTATCTGTCAGCAAAGGCCTTCACCTGGTTCAAGGCAATGTTCAACGTTCCCTTCTGTGACATGAGTCTAGATGGCAATGCATCCATGCTGTGTTCCGGCAGTCATAAATCTTTCCTATAGCAAGTACATCCATCTTGGCTTAGCAATGTGTAAAGGTTTCAAATTAACCACTTGCTACTTTAGATATAAATATTGTGGAAGAAAAATAAAACCAACAGTTAAGTCACTGTCAGGAGTCTGGAGAGCTAATTAAGATCTATTGCAGATGCCAAAGAATTACAGGAGCTCAAAAGGATGTTTTATGGAGACTTTGTAAAAAGGCAAGTGAGAAAGCTTCACAATCTTGACAGGTTTTTTTGGAAACAGGAACTAGCCTTCTCACCTCATTAAAAAAAAGTTTCAAGTCAGGTTTTCTCCATTTTTCCAATATTGTAGTGTTATAAGCTTCTTATGCCCCCACTCCTTAGGATTTTTCATATTATTGAATTGAATTTATTTATTACGGTCGAGATCAGCTTATGAAACACAAATGGAACTACAATCCCAATCATATTAGAAAAGAGAACTAGGTGTAGGGAAAATGATCCAGTTCCCAGAATTAGTGTCAACCACCTGTATGTTTCCAGCTCTACAAAGCCTTTCTGAGAAGTAGGGCTGGGTGATATATCAAAACTGGTTTGAAGTTCATTTGTGATATTGGTTTCATAATTTTTGACCTGGCAATATATTGTGAATCATGATGTGTGTGTGCCATGCAAAAATCACAATGTGGGGGAAACCATGAAGCCAACCAATGCTTCTACATAGCTCCATCCTTATTTCAGACATTGTGATATATCAGTATATTGAGATGTTTAGCTGGTGATAAATCACAATGTTGAAAACCAGATATTGCCCAGCCCTACTGAGAAGAGGTGGCCATAACTGGACAGAGCATTCTAAAAGTGGCTGCCCCATAAGACTGTTGAGGCTGCAATTCTGTACACATTTACCTGAGAGTAACTCTCATTGAACGCAATTGGGCTTGCTTTTGAGTAGACATGTATAGGCTTGCATTGTCAATGGCAATGCAATACATTCCATGTATGTTGTTTGCAGTCTGTTTTCTCAGGGAGAGAAATCTTCATGAAATTGGAGGGCAGATTTTGGTGCAACACTATCTCTACTACGCCTGAGGGCAGCAGCCTGACTTAGGAGGTGCAGGGCAGCCTACATGACACCCACAACTCTGTTCTTAACCTCACTACTCTGCCAGGCACCTGCTCATGCCACCCACTCAAAAATGCAGCATTGACAGTGCCAGCATGCATCACACGACCAACACATCCACAGGTATGGCACCCACTGTAGTGCATGGCTTGAGCTGACTGCCTCTTTTGCCTGCTTGCTCTATCAGGGGCCTTTCCTAATGGCACTGTGCTATGTTTGGGAGAAGGTGCCTTGGTGAGATAGTAAGCCAAGCCAGACCAGCAGCAAGCAAGTCAGTGTGGTGTAGTGGTTAAGAGCGGTAGACTTGTAATCTGGTGAACTGGGTTCGCGTCTCCGCTCCTCCACATGCAGCTGCTGGGTGACCTTGGGCCAGTCACACTTCTCTGAAGTCTCTCAGCCCCACTCACCTCACAGAGTGTTTGTTGTGGGGGAAGAAGGGAAAGGAGAATGTTAGCCGCTTTGAGACTCCTTCGGGTAGTGATAAAGCGGAATATTAAATCCAAATTCTTCTACTGTTCATGTGCCAGCTCAGGAGGTTGGGAATAGCTGGGACAGCTGAAGTGAACACCCAGAGAGGCTCAGGAGAAATGCCCAAGGAGGCTCACACTCTCCAGAATCAGCTGTCTCACCCTGCCTTATGATAGGGCCGGCCCTAGCCAGAATCGCTAGAACCGTTACCCTTCCAGTATTCACTTAGTCACTCCTCACACAAGTGCATTTGAGACAGTTGACAATGCACGGATATGACTCAGGCCTTTAGCTGGCAGCTTCCAATATCCGCTGTTCTCTCTTTGTTCTGCCCACTTGCTGCAATGGGAATAATTACTTTTATTCTCTTGATGGAGCACGGCTGCTAGGCTTATCATCCACAGCAAGTGACTGACTCTGCTACAAATTGCTAATTCCATTTGAGAGGAAGTGATGAAATCCTATTCTAGTGAGGAGCGGCTGTTCCCAAAATGATGTTGGGTGCCGACTTTGGATGTGTGTGTGTTCTCATGTGCACAAATTGCACCCTTTGATTCTAGAGGAGAAAGAAAACTGCCTGAACTTCCTGTCTCTGAAGCCCAGCCACTGCTTTTCTGGGCATACTGGGATGGAAAAGGTGTGATCTGCAGGCTGCAGAGGAGGAGCTTCAGGCTGGAGCAGGGCACTCAGGACTGTGGCTGCAGCAGAAACATCACATAGTTATATCAAGTCAGATCGTTAATCTGTCTAGGTCAGTATGGTTTGGACTGGCAGGCAGGAGCTCTTCAGGGTTTCAGACAAGCAGGGCTCTTGGAATTTCCCCTATGAAGCCATGTGAATGCATAGAGTTGAAGCCCTCATAGATAAGTAGGTGAATGAGGGAATAATGAAATATTTCCCAACTGAGGATGATCCCACCATGAGTTCAGAACAAATACAAGTAATAACAATATGGATGGCATCTCACCAGCATGATTTTGACCCAATGGTATGGCATTTCCTAAGCGGTAAATGCATTCCGTCTAAATTCTGTATGTTAAAATAGTGACAGGAGAATTCACAATAATGCTTGGATATCAGACCTAAGCTGAATCTCTTTCCTGTAGAACAAAGTGCAAGTGTATTTATAAATGAAATAGGTTTATAAGCAGCTATTTTTGAAGCTGCTGTGATTTCGTAAAGTGTAACAGCTGTGGGACCAACAGCCCGTGCCAAGTATGATGCACCCGTTCATACAGGTGGGAGAGGACACACACAAACCCCCTGGGTTGTCACCCCACTGGTGACCATGCATAGGCTGACAAAAGGTCCAGGTGTTGTTGGAGTCCAACTCTCATCAGTCCCAGCCAACATGGCCGACGGTCAGGGATGGCAGGAGTAGTAACATTGTCCAGTGACGGTCATTGTGTCATACTGCAGCCACTGGTGTGGTGGCATGCTGGTATATCACTCAAAAAGCATCTGTTCCACAATACAACAGTACAGGTAATATGTAAAGCTAATGAAATATTTCCCACATTCAGGGGCAGCCCATCCTGTTTTGCCGCCTGAGGCAAAATGTGAAAGTGCCGCTTTTCACCCCCAGGCCAAAGACTCACTTACAAGGTGTGACGTTAACATATGAGAGTGCTGGAGGTGAAATAGTTAAACAAGTTACCCAATCAGAACTCAGGGGGGTGGAGTCAGAGGGACTATAAAACCAGCTCTGGGAGGGGCGAAGGGAAGAGTTC